GAGAGAACAATCATGGGAGAAAGAAGGGCTGTTTATGCACAGGGAGACAGGTCATGGGGCAGGAGAGTATGGAGGGATGGACACTGGGAAGAGGTAACTATGGGGAGGAAGTGGGAGGGGAGCTATAGCATTGTGGTAAACTGTTGTCAATGACATGAGACAAAGTATATGTGAACTGCTGTATGGAAAGTGAATTTGCTCTGTAAATCCTCACCCAAATCACAATAAAAAGAGAAAAAAAAAGAGTGAAGAAAATCAAAGATTCATGGAAACAATCAGTCCAAGGGACTAATGGCCCAAGGGAACCTCAGTCTATATGACCCTGAGACCACTGCCGACCACTCAGAAAGGGATCAAAACTGAAGATCCTAGATAGAGTGGGAAAAAAGTATGGAACAAAATTAAAAATCATAAAGAAGGCCAAGCTTACTGTCTGATAGAGAGTGTTAAACCCCCAAGACTATGAATTTTACCTTATAAATAACTTCTGGTGAGAAAGAACAGACGATACTATTATTATATAGTTGGGGAAATTCCAAATAAGCTTTCTTTAGAGCAACAGTAGCCTGTAAAACAGAGAGATTCATGTATTTTAGCCTATTAACATGTGATAGTCCCAACCAGTAACTATTGTTCAGTAAGTATATCACTACCTAAACAACAACAACAAAAAAAGCTAACTCACTGCCGTCAAAGTCAATTCAACTCATAGTGACCCCTTCCTTGGGTTTCCAAAGCGGTATCTCTACAGAAATAGATTGCCCAATCTTCTTTCGAGGAGGGGCTGGTGGGTTTAAACCACCAGCCTTCTGGTTAGCAGTCAAATGCCTTGGACACAATGCTACCAGAGCTCCCATACATCTACCTAATAAATCAGAAGTTTATTAACATATGGGAATGTTAGAAAGAGTGTTAGTAGATTCCATTATCTAACTGGATACATTTTAAACTCATATTAACAGTAGTCAAGAGCTCACCCCACTCCTTTCCCCCCCCACAATTTCATAAAGTGTGGCACATTACAGGACAGTGAATGCTGGAAGCAAAATTTAAAAATCGTTTCCTTATATTCAAGGTTGGTTACCAGGAAATGTTCTTCCACACACACAATTCTATCACCCTTCTGGCTTTCCTAGATGAAACATGAGCCAACCAGCCCAGGAAGTATATAGAAGCAATGCAACAGGGGTGGGGATGGTGTGAGGTGTGAAGTCTGGAAAAGTCTCAACTGTTTCCAAGATGAGCAGAAGTTTCTCTTTATAGAAGTAGACCAGTTAATAAGTGAAGAAATGATAGAATTAAAGTACTGATATTTTGACCTTTTGCAGCCCCTCATGAACTGACAGATCTGGCCACTGTTTTTAGATGCCACTAAGTCTGTGCCAACTCACAGTGACCCTAAGTACAACAGAACTAAACATTTCCCAATCCTGCTCCATCCTCACAGTCATGGCTATGTTTGAGCTCATTGTTATAGCCACTGTATCAAACTATTTTGTTGAGGTTCTTCCTCTTTATCATTGACCCTCTACTCTAAGGTCTGGTCCCTTCTGATAACAGATCCAAAGTAAGCAAGACAAAGTCTCGCCAAACTCACTTCTAAGGAGCATTCTAGCTGTACTTCTTCCAAAACAGATTTGTTTGTTCTTCTGGCAGTCCGTGGTGTAGTCAACAATATTCTTCACCAATACCGTAATTCAAATTCATCAATTCTTTTTCAGTCTTCCTTATTCATTGTCCAGCTTTTGCATGAATATGAGACAACTGAAAATACTATGGCTTGGGACAGATGCACCTTAGTCCTCAAAGTGACATCTTCGCTTTTTGACACTTTAAAGAAATCTTTTGCAGCAGATTTGCTCAATGCACTAAGTCATCTGGCTTCTTGAATGCTACTTCCATGGATGTTGATTGTGGATCCAAGTAAAATGAAATCACTGATAACTTCAATTTTCTCTCTACTTATCATGATGTTGCTTCTTGGTCCAGTTGTGAGAATTTCTGTTTTCTTTATGTTGAAGTGTAATCCATACAAAGGTTGGATTAGTCTTTGATCTTCATCAGTAAATGCTTTAAGTCTTCTTCAGTTTCAGCAAGCAAAGATGTGTCATCTGCATATCACAGACTATTAATGAGTAATCCTCCAATCCTGACATACAGTTCTTCATATAAATCAGTTTCGCAGATTATTTGCTCAGCATACAGAGTGAATAAATATGATGAAAGGATACAACCCTATAATTCCTGATTTTAGACCATGTAGCCCCTTGTTCTATTCAAATGATTGCCTCTTGGTCTATGTACAGGTTTCTCATGAGCACAATGAAGTGTTCTAAATTCCCACTCTTCACAATGTTATCTATAATTTGTATAATCCACACAGTCAAATGCCTTTGCATAGTCAGTAAAACATAGGTAGTCTCTGCTTTTATCCAAAATCCATGTATGACATGAGCACTATCTCTCATTCCATGTCGTCTTCTGAATTCAGCTTAAATTTCTGGCAGTACCCTATCAATGTACTGCTGAAAAAGAATTCTCTTCAGCAAAATTTTATTTGTGTGTGGTATTAATAATATTGTTTGATAATTCTACATTCTGTTGGATCACTTTTCTTTGGAGTGAGCACAAATACAGATCCAAATATGGATTTCATCCAGTCAGTTGGCCAAGTAGCTGCTTTCCAAATTTCTTGGCATAGACGATTGAGCACTTCCAGTGTTACATCTGTTTATTGAAACATCTCAACTGGTATCCCTGGAACCTTGTTTTTCACCAATGCCTTCAGTGAAGCTTGGACGTCTTCTTTCAATACAATCTATTCTTGATCATATGCTACTTCCTGAAATGGTTGAACATTGACCAATTCTTTTTGGTACAGTGACTCTGTGTATATCTTCCCTCTACTTTTGATGCTTCCTGCATTGTTCAATATTTTGACCACAGAATCCTTCAATATTACAAATCCTAACAGCTAACAACAACAACAAGAAAAGAATTGAGCAGATGTTATATGGAATACAATGTTTTTGTAGCATAACGCTTGATATACTACTAATTTTCAGAAAGTCCCACTTATCCATAATCAAATATTAGCAACAATGTGTTAAGAAACAAAATACAGAAATGATCCATGTTATTCCTCACCTTCACTAATAAACTGAGTGATAGTTATTTAACCAAAGTTTTTTCTTTGAAGTTGTTTAAACTAACATGTGCACTGTGTGTAACTCTTCCCTTTTTAAAATTTACTTCTCACAACAACTTCATGTGGTAGTTTCTTTTATTATTCCCATTGTGACCATGAGGAAATTGAGCTTTATCAAGGTTAAGGTTATACTGTAGTGACAGCTTAATCAAAGTATGTTGAAGAAAACCAAGTAGCCTATGATCTTGGCTACTGTGTTGTAGTATCTCCAATTTGTTGCCCCTAAGTTCTCTAGTGCTGCTATAATACAAGTACCACAAGTAGTTGGCTCTGAAAAACAGGGATTTATTCTCCTACAGTTTAGGAGGCTAGAAGTTCAAGTTCAAAGTGCCAGCAATTGGGGCTGGATGAAGACCCCTCAACCTTCAGCTCTGCCTCCTGTTGCAGGCCCACTAGAGCTGGGGGCTTTTTCTGACTCACGCAGCTGGCTGGCTGCTGAGGCTGATGAACCTAAGATCAACAAGTAAAGTGGTACAATTCCAAGATGAGCAGATAACACGGCAGACTACTGGTTCAAGTCCAGGAACAATCCTGGTATCAGCAGACAAGACAGCAGAACAAGACTTGGCCAAATGCAGGGCCCAGAAGTGCCAAAAACTTAAGAGATGTTTTGCAAAGCTTCTCCTTACGTACTGGAAGCAGGCCACACCCTGAAGGCAGCTACTTAGCTGCTCACAGATGATACCAACTCACCTTGGGGAATAACTACATCCAGCTACCTAGACACTCAAAACCATGGCAGCCAAGTTGACATACAACCTTAACTAACTACTACACCACCTCTTGTCCCTCCATACTACCAACCTGGTGAATTGTGTTACTATGCTCTACCCCATCCTTGCCAAACACCTGTGAACACCCAAACAGAAAACTCAAATAACTGGACTTTTTTTTTCTTATTCAAAGAGAATAAGCAAGAATATCAGTATACTGTGCATAAATAGGAACTATCAAGGTTCCCAAACATAAGCCACATTGCCAATAAAACCTAAGGTGCCCATTAAAAATACATGCTCAGAGGACAGGAATACATAGGAAAAGAAAGATGGACACAGGTAAAAGGTAACCATGGGGAGAAATTGGGAAGAGAGCTGTTGATTGTGGGGATTACAATCAGTATCATGAAACAAAATGTGTATGAACTGTTGTATGGAAAATGAATTTGCTCTGTAAACTTTCACCCAAATCATAATTTAAAAAAACAGGGACTCAGCCGGCAAGATGGCGGACTAGGCAGAAAGACCCTCTTCAACAAAGAAAAGGGAAACCAATTAACACAGACACAGAAGATAATCCTGGACCCCTAAGCCTTGAAGGGAAGGATATAGAAGTGGACTAA